AACATCGTGAGGAAACCTGCATATTTTCGAAGTAATAACAAAAAAAAACATATTTCGAAGTTATGTGAGGTCCGCCAAATCCGCATTTGGGCCGCGTGGTGGCCTATGTCCTGATATCCTCTGTACAAAGGAGACCTTTGCCCATCAGTCACCAAGCGGATATGTATAGGCTGATACTTTACCTTTACTTTATAGTATATTTAACTACCAAGTATTTAGCATTGAAACTAGCAATCTGTGTAGCCTACTAGGAAAATAACGAAACCTATATATATATATGTTGTAGTTTCTGTTATTTTCTACAACTTAGCAAATTTTTCTACAATTTGGCAAAATCATCTAGCTACCCTAGTCCACATTATTATAAACTTGTTATAAATATTATGTTTTTCTACTGAATACTTTAATTTATACACTGTACATCCTGTATTCTTCACGTATAGTGTAGCTTTTCAATTACGTACAGCAATCTAAAAGACGACTTTTTTTACACAGTACAGAATTTTTCGAAAACTGTTTGCGAATGTTTGTGAATATTATATAATAGATCATTCCCCTTATTTATTATCAATTCGTTCACTTGTTACTGAATACTATGATGCCCTTGCCTGACCGGTACTATTAGCACTAAGTGGTAATATCTACAGCTAATAAAACTACCTTGTCTTAAATTATACTTTTAAATGTTGTAAATAAAGAATAAATAAACATAAATACAATACGTATACATTATTTTTATAGTTTTATTCACACACGTCGTATAGTAATGGATAATCTTTATTTATACGGTGTTTAAATGATGTTGCAATGTTTATACTGGACAGTCCCTTCCTGGTTTACATGTTACATTCATGTACAATACAATACAATACCAAAAACGCAATTGCATTTACACCACTATCGTTGTCTGTGCTTCATTGAACGTTCGCATATTACACTGCCTAGCCAGCTGTTTATTTGACCGTTCCCTGTTGGGTTGGCAACAAGCTCTCGTATGTTAGCTGGTGCAAACGGAGACACTACTTTTCACCAAGCTTTGCATATAAATTCCAAAAGTGAGCCTTAATGGTACACGGTGGTTTTTATGATGGAATGTTCAAACAATCAAATGGTTAACTCAGGTGTTTAAAGTATCTCTTTAAAACGTCCATGGAGGCCTTTATTCTTCCTCGAATGATCCAGTCCAGTTTTTCGTCAGCAGCTGCATATATCAATCGGAAAAACATGCGATAAACGAAAACTCGTCCATGAAGAACTATTGAGATTCGCCGCCTCAGCTATTACTCTGTAAAGTAAATATAGGAGTTTGAAAATGACTTAATATATATAATTTACGGTTTTGCTTTTTAACTTAAAACTTTTTAACAAAAAAAGTTAGTTAAGTATCACATGTTGCTAATAAAAGTGAATTATTCCAAGCAAGTAAAAAATATAAACTTTTATAAAAACATTTTTTTCTTAAAGCATCGGTCGGAAATTGACTGGCACAAAGTATGGTTTACGTAGAACTACACCATTATAGAACGCCCAAAACAAATAGTGTCTTTAGCTCTAGTGTAACAATGCAGCATCATGTTGATTTGCCGAATGTTCCGTTGGTAACATTAACTCATATTATCGACGCGGTCGCACAAAATCAAGGGTCAATAACATAATAAAGGTCACCGTTGAGTCTGACCCATCTAAAAACGCTTATCACGCACGCATGAGCACGTTCGCGGCCCTACCCACCGTGGAGGACCACAAACCCGTGGGTTCTGACTAGCCCACCGGTTCTGCGTTCGATGAAGCTGTAATAGTCTCGGGACTGAAAGCGTTAACATCAGTTAATACAAGATACAAGAAAGTGCTCATCGATTTATAACGATCAATTAGTAAAGATTGGTGTTAGGAAACCAACTATAACGATTTTAACATTTATACAAACTAACCAGATGAAACGTGAAAGCATAATACTTCCCCTTCCCCCCGCCTCCTGTGTTGCTGTGGTACCTGTGGCTAGGACGAGACCGCCCATTCTTGAACTACAGAAGGTGCTGCGTGGCTCCAGCCCTACCACAACGTGAATTTAGTGTAGATCTCCCAAAAACAAGGCTTCTTTTCGTTCCGTTCTGATTGAACTGCTAAACGTTTCAAATTCGGTCGGTCCAATGTTGTTATACGGTAGCTCAATGCGACTATACGCGTCAAAGGACATAATTATTACCCAACTAAATCATGTTTCATACAAAATTTTTGGCCCTGCAAGTGTTCCATTGCGGTAAAAGTTTTCTAAAGCTGGTCTTAATTGACCACCCTTTAGGGGCAAAGTTGTATTTTTCGTGTATATGTGGCAAGAGTAAATAAATCGTTTTTTAATAACTTTGGGAAACATCCAATCCATTCATCCATCATCTCCATAAAATGGAGATGATGGATGAATGGATGAGACAAATGATTTTCGATAGCATTTAGACATATATACAGCGTGTCGTTACCATCGCGACAATAAATGAACACACGTCTAACGCTACTTGCCAATAATTATAAAAAATATTAACGTTAAACAAAATCCATAATGAAAAAAAAATATTTTTCAAACGAACTAATTAAGTAAAAAAGAAACAAAATTTGTAACACCTATACCCTCGCGCCGCAGCGTCGTATTACAAGTCTCTCCTTCTAACAGTATGTTTTGTCTCTTTTAAATTCATTCAACCCATTCATATGCTTTGTGACCTTTACAAATGAACTTTACGTTACGCTTTTATACGTAAGGGTGTTCTAAAATTCTTTGTTTTTGTAAATTTAATAACTCTGTAAATATCGGTGTTTAAAGAATTTAAATGTTTAATACAACTTTAAAAAGTTATCCCCTATATGTGTGTTTATTTATTGTCGCGATGGTAACGACACGCTGTATATAGAACAACAATCTACCTATTTCTATTTTGGTAAAAACGTTAAGTTAATTACTATTTAACTGCCTCAGAAATGTCTTATTGAAATATAAAACTGCTAATTATCGTACAATAAAAAGTTAGCGACATAAAGTAACATTCTTTGCTTTATTATTCTTCAGCATTTAACAATTTAATATGTACATGTATCTACTAGCATTAGATATCAATAAAAAAAACTATGTAATGGAAGGCGGGTCAGATACTACTCTACCGTTACCAAAAGAATAACGAACAATTATGTTTTCCTACAAGGTTTTTTCTTTGTTTCAACCAGTCTTTAATGCTCCGGGCTCATTTCGGCTTTATTGATAACTTAACTGTTAAAATCCAACATAATTGAAGAGTATTAACGTTAATAAACGCAAGTTCCTCAATTTACTTATTTTTTTACATACTGATTAACTTATAAACGGTTATAATTTTGCAACCATCGTTTTTTTGCACTGATTTTAAATCGTTTTCTATTTTTGCTTTTTTCACACATTTGCATATAGATAGACATGCTTTCGTAAAAAAAAAATCGTATCCATGATTCTGCACTGATCTATAAAACGATGTTTTGTTGTTTGTACTAAAGTAAACTTTTAAACATTCCAATTATTTATAGATAATAAGTATTCCGGAAGAATGTGTTTATTTATTTATGTCTTTAGGCACAAATAGTGCAAAGGCGGACTTAATGCCAAAGGCATCATCTCCCAGGCAACCTTGGGGGGGTACAGAGAAAAGATACAGAGAGATACAGAGAGATAGATGCACAGATAGATGTGATAAAAAAGAAATCGCAGATATTTACGAAGTATATTATAATTAAATGTATGTGCATATGTTAATTGTAGTACAAAACTAATAAATTCTACAAAGTATACGTAATACATACTAATACACACAATCCTTACCAATCCTTACTTTCTTACTAATATTTAAAGGCGAAAGTTGGATGTTTGTTACTCTTTCACGCAAATACTACTGAATGGATTTTAATGGAACTTTATAATTGCTTATACGTCAGAACAAGACTTAGGCTATAATTTATATATATCACATTTTATCTATATTAGTCTTGTCTGTATGATACGCCTTTAGGCTATTCGAAGCAGACGTAGTCGCTGGCAGCAGCTAGTGTATTATATTTTAAACCTACTAAGGCTCGGCATACCTTTCTTGGTCAGTATATTTTCAAATAACGTCTTCACAAGCGTGTGCAGTAACATGAATGATAGGGTATATGTCGTGTATGGAGAGATGTAAACTTTAATTTTTATTAATGTAATCATTTCCACATAACCTATGTAAAGTGATGAGCCCGTGGCGCAGTTGCCAAGTTATTGGCTTCAGCGCTTTCTTGAGATTCCCACACGGAACAACTATTTGTGTGACTAGATAATTGTCTCAGATCTGGGTGTGTGTCCACGTGACATCCTATGTAAAAACAGGATAATGTTATCCTGCAGCAATGTTAATATTTTAATCTTAAAAAAGTTAATAGAAAAAGGCATTTTCGCCTAATATTCACGTTGGAACTTCTCTACTCAATTATATTTGGCTCCTCTTTCACTATTACCGCATACAAGATCACTACCTATCCTAAACTAACCTATGACACTTCAACCTCGGTTAAATGTAATCTCGGTATAAAATTTAACATTAAATACAACAATTCCGAATAAAGACATTGACATAAAATTGAGAACATTAAGAACAACTTGAAATTGGCGGTATTGTGATAATTCACAAAAGAAGCCATTAATAAAAAGAAGAAAAATGCTTATAAAATGAAAAATAGTTAACAGTTTTATGGGACCAAAAGGCAAATATGCTGCGTCAAACTAAAGAAGAATCACGTAAATCGGATCATAAATCTCCGCGTTATCGCTGTACATACATCGAAAAAAAATATACCAATCTAATTGATAACCTCCTCCATTCGAAGTCGTTTATAAAGAAGAATAATGACAAAGTTAAATGACGACATTAAAAAAAGTTTCTTTTTGTTAACAGCGTTCCAATACAAGCACATGATCGTGAGGACCAGCAAAAAGGCGCTTAATGGTTTACATGGTAAGTGGTTTTTAATTTTGTTGTTTTTCTAATTAGGTACTTAAAGTATATTTTTTGATTTTGAATGTTATTTTTTTATTAATGAGTAAACCTGGCTTGTTTGCCACCGCCTTATAAAAAAGATGTTATATAAAAGAAAATACATTATAAAAATGACGCTAAACAACTTGGGTCATTATAACCCATTAATGAAACACTATATACAGCAAGTACTTGGGAACATGTATATAAAATAGCACAAATGGGCTTCAGTACAGATATGAAATGGCTAACATGCGATAATTTGTCTCTGACTGAATGACACAGTGATTACTCGGTTTCGCCTTAATCTATTAGTTTCGGCGTCGGGAGTCGTGCGTTCGATTCCCATTTGGGACAAGTATTTGTGTGACCCACAGATAATTGTTCCGGATCTGGGTGTTTGTTTCCCAAGGAGCCAAAACGCTTACAGCATAATTCAAATGTTGTACCTAACCCATCTAGTCAGTAGTGAAAGTATTTTTAACTATAAATGAATAAATAACTAAACTTATCGCAGCCTAAAGTAGGAGAAATTTAGAAGTAACAATGAAGTACATAAGAATATTTGTCATATTATGAAAATACCATATTAACATCGGAACTTAAAGCTATCCGTCCGTGTCAGCCTAATGAAAAAGGAAAACTTTCACAACATTAATACGTAAAAAATCATCCCTAGCCTTAAGCCATTCGCTATTATTAAAACAGTTCTCCATTGTATCGGCTTCTCATAATGAGCAATGAGTTACCTGGAAATACAGAGTCTATTTGCAATACAATCGTAGAGGACAAAGGTGGAAAAATTTAAGAAAAGTCAACCAAAGAAAAATAATGAAAACGATGCTTAATGTAGTTGTGGGCGCAGAAACTTTTGTGCCTGTTATTTGTAGCATAATAGATACAACTGTTATAAATATTTCCTTTTATGCAAGCCTCGGCCACTGCTTTGTACCGCAACATTAAGTTACATTTTGAATAAAGATTCAATAGCATTAAACGGCTGTAATAGAATTGTGGAGTGAGGTCAAAAAACAGGTCACGGCTTGTTTCCATTAATCAAATGTGGTATTGCGCCACACCCGCCGGCGCATCTTAAGGCGCCGTCATGTTCCAAGACTATGAAACAGAGAACACAAAAGAAAGGGGGAATTGAACCAGATGTTTAATGTATTAAAATAGACGCGAGAGTCAAGATTGATGCAATTATCCCTAATACGCCTCAGTAAATTAGTTATTTTTTTCGTTTTTGTTTACTAGTTCTGTATATTATTAGTTATTACTTGTGTTTCTTTTTATATAAAAGCAGTTATGCGGCTCTCAAATAGTGGAAAAGTAATAAATATTTTAATAAAAAGCTAGACGCTTCCACCACATATGCTGGAAATTAGTTCATACTATGATAATTCATTTTCTTAAAATGAAAGATAAGGCATATTGATAGTAAAGTATTTTATTATTTGTAAATCCTGCACTGCGGCATCGACTGAGGCGAAACATGGAAGGCGTCCTTGATCATGTAAATCATCAAAGTCAATCAAAACAACTGTAATTATTGCAACAATTAATTACTGTGCCCGTCCGGGCCATACAATGTCCGGCTAATTATTTATTTATTTATTCATTTATTCAACAGGTTCACCAACGTTCGTTCACATATCATTATTAAACATGAATAACATTAAAAAGATGAAACTTAAATCATATTTACTTACGTATGTGACGAACGATATGTGCTATTTTTGGTCTTACGTTACGCTCGTGGATGTCACTATTTCATTGCTGGTACTATGTTTTATGACGTTGTAGCTTTCAGTCGTCTTGATTCCGTATACCTTCTTTCTCGGAACCAGAGCAGACGTTCCCGGCGGGCTTAATTAAATCTTCGTCTAGAATAATGCTCAAATTACAAATTAACTTTGTCTTTACTTTTACTTACGTGTCAATTAAGGCCTGAATCTGGCGTGCTCAAACATCGAATTGTACTTGTACTGAGCAACACATTAATAGATTATTGAGGCGGAAATATGGGGCTGTTAATGATTATTGCCTCGAGACTAAATTATGGGGGCTGTTCTGCCGAAGGCGATGTTTGTGTACAGCAGACCTAAGACTTTTCATTGGTTTTTGCTATATCGTAATTGCGCCTCTTCCAAACGCTTCTCGAATTATCTAGAAAATATTTGCATCAAAGTTTAAGATACTAATCGACAGTGCGAACAACTACAGATAAAGTTTCATATATTAAATGTTTTAATCGGTGGATCAACGCCGTGAAAAATTTTAACCGCTGACACAGGCGCCGTCGCGTGTAAAAACCAGAACGCCAAGAGCCGGATGTCGAACTGGAAGGCGTGTTATGAACCTTAACAGCGATCGGATACAAATCGCGGGCTGGTGATAGCAAGGTCGTGATGGCTCCGGCTAACGAACGCACGGATCGTTAGTGCCGGCGAATGTGTACCGTTTTGAGTTTAGACAAGCACGATGGGCGCGGAGTACGGATTTTCTCAATACAGAAATCGGTGCGGGGCACGACGCCGATGTGAATCGCAACCATTTTGTTTGCAAGCTACAATTCTTTGTTTTTTATCACGAACTTGCTCGATTTCTATACTGTCGTAGTAGCGTTAATGATATTACATGGATTACATTTTATCTTGTAGTTTACTAGTAGGTTTGATACTTAGACAAAATATTTACAGATTATACAAGAACTAGTTTAATTAAAGCTAATTAACTAGTGCTTTTATAATAAAATAGGTGACATCCACAAACAACTAAGTATAAACAATTTCAAACAATTTGTAAAAGCTACCTTAATGGCAAGGGCTTATTATAATATCCAAGAATACATAGAGGACAAGGATGTTTGGAAATGACTCTTGCTCTGCACTTGCAAGACCCCTGGCTGCTGCTGATTTTATACCCAAATAAGTGTGTATAATTGCATTAAAAAAAATATATATATAACAAAAAGAACAAGACCGCAGAGTTTCTTGCCGGTTCTTCTCTGTGCAGGTCTAGTTTAAAGGTGGTAGATTTTTGTTGACGTTCAATAAGAGCTTAAGTTAGGCCTATATTGAATAAATATACTTTGACTTTGACTTTGACTTTGACTTTGACCTATTTTCCTTTGATGTTGGTCTACCGAGACATCTTCTAAGCCATGGTGTAGAAAAGCGAAAGCTGCCTGTTTGAATTTGAATGCAGGGTTATGGGTGTGATTCCGTTGAGTGGTCTATTTATTAAATATCCTATTTTTGGGCAGAAATCTATCGTATATTGTATTACAATATCATCAAGAGAGATACAAGTTAAATATCGGGATCATAAATGGGCCATTATCCGTAATAGCAATTTGTTATATTATTTTCACATTTGGCAATAAAGTATATTGTGTTGTTTTTATAAAATAAATAAAGACGTTAAAAGTGTATAAATATTTAATGCTAATAATTTTTGTCTATGAAGGAAATGTAAAAGTTCGCAATATACGACGGTCCAATGTATACCTACTCGGTATCGGAATGAAATACTGATGAGGGTCATTAAATTGCCTCATTACTTAAAGACACTCTTTGGGAGTATAAATATAGAATTTATTTTAATTGTCACCATTGGTGTTCAAGATACCATTCCGAAAAGGCAACTACGATCTCTGATACAACAGTGTTGAAAAGACCGAGCATCGTGCCGTGATAAACTTCCTTACACAACTCGGAACAGGAAAGACTCGAAAAGTTACACACGAAGATTTTTAGGAGGTATTGAAAAGTTACTTTCCCACTCAAATGAATATATTGAGGTGGGGTCTTCATTGAAAAACAAATTTTATTCAAAATTTCTGCTTGTTCTTTCATGGCTATACCGAGGGTATATAGATCGCCCGTTGTAATTCAGATAGCATCCGCAGTCTCATTTTAGCTATCCAAATTTTGCTCTGCCGCTGCCGCTGATTGAGCTGTGCCGTTAAATATCTTCTTCCTCACACCATTTTGTGTTGGCTGTATCAAGCAATAATCTTCCTGCATACCGCTAATTTATCACGCGGTGTATGGGTGGGTAGACTTGAGCCTTATTAGTAACCATAAAATGCAAATAAATCATCAAAACTTTATATTGATTTAGAATGTTTTTTAGACATCAATTTCCTGTTTGCCTAATGAATATGTTACAAACTAATTTTTCGCATACAGATGAAGCTACATCAAGTTTAATTTCTTTCCTTATCGCTTAGACGTTACACATGTAAGAAGCGAAAGTAGAACGTCTGGATAGATGCGCTTGTATGTTGATTTTGTTATATAACGTAATGAAAAGCGATCTTCGTATATTGGTAGCATAAATCTCGTTTGAGGAGATTTTCTCTCACCAACTACACGGGTCTATATGGCGGTCATAAATAGTTTTAATTGCGTCAATCGCCGATACCGTTATCCATTACATTAAATATAGACTGTAGTAAATTTTAATTTCTTTTTTTTACGCGAATTTTCTAAGTTTTAGTGCATTTTATTATGATTCAAATTGCCGAAATCTATTCGAAAGTACGAGATCCCATGTCAAATAAGCTTTCAGGTCGGCTGCTTCCAATCCTTCCAATTTGATTGTTGGTTTAACTCCATACTGTTTTTCAAAGTTGGGATTTTTATTCTTTCATACATCTCCGGGTTTTTATTTATTTCCAAGCATCCTTACCGACTGGGTGTTGATAGAGTTGCTAAGTAATAATATAAAATATTGCCAATTAAAACCGCTTTAGGTGGCCTTCGCGGCGGGACCAATTATATACAAATTTGGATTAAATTTATTAAACTCGGAAGGAAACTGCGGAGGGAGTGAGAGAAGACACTGCCACCCTGGAAATATGCCACCGGAGGCCAGGCAGCAGGAGGCTGGGCTGTGCTACAACCTTCTCATGATAGTGATACACTGGGTGGCAGGTACAGGGGTGTCCGTTTTGTCTCGTGAGGGCGTTG